AATAATACAGTTTGTGTTGATCAAGTGATGTGATGTCTACAGTAAGAAAAGAATCATCAATGACTGCTTTGAAATGTGCACTACGTTCCGACGGTAGTGTTAAGCAAACAGTTAAATTTTAAAAGCGCGGTTATAAGATCTAAAAGATCTTCTTGTTACACTTATTTTGGCCAAGTTTTGGCATTTGGGGAGAAATGGTTTTGGAATATTTGATGCATTTTTGTGGATGAATTGGCAGAGCTCTACTTTTAACAACATTTTTAGGATCAAGAAAGTAAAAATTGGCAATCTCCTGAATTTCAATTTATTTAGGTTGGCATCTGTGTCCCAATGGTTTCTGTTGGGGGGAGGTTCCACTGTACTTAAAAATGCAGTCATTGAAAGGTGACTGGAAAAATTATGTATAGAGCTGTGGAACTTTGTTATATTAGTCTACAAGTGACTATCTGCCACATCTTAAAGTTCAAGTTTTGTTGTTTTGTTTAACAGCCTTCGTGGAAGCTAGCTGATCCTATATGCACATTCCTGTTTTCTCTGTTGGTTCTCATAACAACGCTTAACATCTTGAAAGAGACCATTCATGTTCTTATGGAAGGTATGATTGTGATTGTTGCTGTGATGACTTTACTTTGTGAATCCCAAAAGTGTGAATGCTCAGTGGTTAATTTTAACGCATTAGTAAATTTAATAGCCATACCGGATTATTGTTTGGTAACTGCTCACATGATACATGTAGGTCAAACCACAAGGATGTTTGCCTTAGTTGTTAAGTTTTGAATTTTTGATTTGTAATTATAAAGGAGGATATCTGTTTGGTTTTTTGTCATGACACAAGTAGATTTCTTCTAAAAATTCTCGTTTTTGTACTTTTCTGATTTGCGCTGTAAACCTGACAGAAACGTAGTTAAGAACTAAATAAAATTACTAATCATAATTTTACTAACAGGCTTGTTGTTGAAGATGGCTTTCAGACACTGTTATTTGTAAAATATTTGTTATTCACAGCCCCATTATAATGCAAATCACTCAGACATAGTCTGCCACATAGCAAACATCGGTAAAGAAAATCAGAAACTGCCTGTCAAGTTTCTGTGTGCCAGAAAACCTATTAAAAATGGCAAATTACAATTATTGGTTCAGAATAGTTTTTCATAACTATCCTGGCTTCTTAAAAGTTCTGCTAGCCATTGTTTTTTCAAAAGTGTCATAAGTTCTGTCTTCTGAGTTCTAGCACAAGTGGATTCAGCTGGTTCCATTTGTGGAGCATGCCAGCTTTAAAGCTCAGAGGCTGATTGCTTCACCTTTTTTTTCAAATTAGGTACACCTAAAGACATTAAATACAATAATGTGAAGGTGTCATTGGAGAGCATTGAAGGTGTGGTGGCTGCCCACAGTTTACACATCTGGTCGTTGACGGTAAACAAGGCCGCCTTGTCTGTTCACCTGGCAATAGGTTGGTATTCTGAACTTGAATGTTTTTTTTTGTTTTCACTGACACTCATTCTCTAAAAGTAAAGGTAAAGTATGCATACGAGCCAAGTGGTCCATCAGGCGGGTACTTATCTCCAGTTTCTATGTAGCACAAAGTGACTAGGAGTATTTCTATTCAGGAAACGGGTAGTTCATCACAGGGTTACCCCCCACATTAAAATTGCCAGTACCCGTTTATACATTTGGGTAAGAGTGTCACTGTGAGAGTAAAGTGTTTTGACCAAGAACCCAGCACAGTGCCGCTGGCCTTATCCCAGACCACTCGATCCGGGGTCAAGTGCAGTAATCATAAGGTCCCCACACCTCCCACGACACTTAATCTATGGGTACCATTAAATATCATGTAATTTTTGTGGTGGTCATTCACCTGTTTAATTGATTTACCAGCCTAATCAAGTGCACAGTACAACTTGCAATCAACATTAAATAATATTTACCTTGATAATGTGGTCTTGAAATCCTTTTTCCAGAACAAGGATATGACTCACAGAAAGTTCTCAACATAGCCAACCAGAAATTGAAGACCGAGTTCCATATTTACCACAGCACTATACAAGTCGAACTTTACCAGGAAACAGTTATGACCAACTGTTCTGAATGCCAAGACTTACAAGACTGATCCTGTCTGCTGTATACAAAGAACCAAGTCCCACGCCCCTCCCGTTAACAAATCTTCACGTTTTCTACTACCTCTGGTGAAGTTTTAGACCATAAACAGGCCTTCTATTCTTTTTCTTTTGCACTGAAATTGTTGAGGTGTTATTTTCATTTATAGTCACTATCTTGAACAATTTTGGAGCAAGATATTTGGAAGGAGCATTTGCTAATCCTTTAACATGAAAGCCTTGGGCCTTACAGTACAACTACTCAATCAAATTATTGCTGTCTCACAAAATTCTGTGCAAATTGGATAGTAAAAACCTCAGGTGTTTTAACATTTAAACAACCAGTCTCTAACGATTTGTTGTTCTAGGCAAAGCTGCTCATGACACGGTGATACAGTAAATTTGTAAAAATTTTTATTGTACTAATGTTTTTGATCATGCTACTGACCGGACAATTTGTCAATATTGTTTTCGGTTGGCCTTGGTTCAATTAGTCACCCTGTAAAAATTTTGATCCCAACATCAAACTTCCCCAAGATCAGTTGATTGACTAGGACCTTAAATTCAAATTGCTAAACCTAAAACTAAAAATTTATGATTTATTGTAAATAGAAGTTGACTTTGATTCATAGTTGTTTGGATAATAAACTGAGGTGGCAATTGACGTTATTCCCAAGCAATTACAAATCTACAAGAAGAAGGGAAAAACCTTGCATATTTTTTACATGTTCTTAATAGTAAAATTAATCATGACTTGCTTCTAGCTAGTGCACAAGCTGACTGCGGAATAGTCTCATACCTTCATTATTTTTATGTTTCAGTCATAAACAATTATTTGTTTTTTTCCTTTAAATCTTGTATTATCCGGGATATGGATCTTGACATCAGAATTATATCCTCTTACTTGAAGGCTTGAACCACTCTCTTGTAAATGAATCTGCAGCAGAAGGGAGTTGAGGGTGGTTGCATTCAAACTATTGTAAATGTATGTGTTATGCTGCTCTTAAACAAACTTGCCACTTTGTGAGATTTTTTTATACTATTGTATTTGCGTCATCTGTTGACCAGTAATGCATTACATTCAAAGATTATAATAACAAACCATCTCATGCTTGCACAATGCAGCTTTATATTGCTTTGCACACAATGCATGCCTGTATGGTCCTCCGTAATACACATGTAAATTTCAAATAACGACCATTACCTGGCCATGAATTCAGCAATAAGCCAGTACACCTTGTTTTTTTTATGAAAATTAGTAAATATTGGTTACATCATTCACAAGGACACTGCTTAATGTGGTTTGTGCAACTTAGGTAATGTTATTTACATATGAAATAATCAATATACAAAATAGTGATTTAATTTTTAATTGCAGTCAACTTAAATATAATCGATACCCAAAAGTATTGTCACTTACATATGAAGTAATTACTCTGTTTAATTGGTGATTTAATTTTGAATTGCAGTCCAATCCAAATATAACAAATACTGATCGAAAAAAATTAATCTCTAGGATCCTGCAAGCCAGTAATAATTTAAGTCATTGCAGGTCTGAAATGGGTTGTCATCAGGTGTAATACACTGTACATAAGGAATGATTTTTTTTTACATAGAGTATAGTTATTAAAGGTTACGCTTATTATTAAGTCTAATATACAGATTTGCATATGAACTATAATTTATGAAAATAAAGAGAGGTTGATTTTTTTTACAAACGACTTGTTTTGTATGTTTAAAGTTTTCAAAAACTTGAGGAGGAATCCATGTTCCAGCCTAATATATATCTTGATTGACACATATCACCCCTTTCCCCAATGCAAGTTGTGCCAAGCTTGCGGCTGGGCTAAAAATTATTTTAAAAAAAGGAATGTCAAGATTACGAAAATTGTGGAGAAAACTTTGAATTTGATTAAAAAA